AACCAAACCCATTGCACGGACTCAATAGCCCTATAAAACTGCCCCAAGACTGTAAGTCTCTACGAGAGTGTTAGGTTTCTCGGAAATACCTGTTCTTGACTTTGCACCAGAAAGGATTCACGCCGAAGCCTGGTCTGTGATCCACGTGGGTTTTATAAAGGATGGAAGAAGTTTCAGGTTTTACAGTCACTGAACATGGGCAACCTCAGTGGGACTACACCCCCCACATGTGGTAGCCGGAGACCACTGGAAGGTGAAGCAACATAAGGGCTGGTTGGTCTCGAGGTCCCGGTATTTGGGGCCTTGCTGGGAGGTGTGGTCCAAGGTATTGGTTGGCCCCATTGGCTGAATTAAGCCTACCTAGCCTACTTTGGGCCCACGTAGGTGTACTATCCACCTGGCGTGGGCTTGAATTGTCAATTGCCCCTTAGCCTTTATGGATGGCTGAGCCTGGTTCTGTTCCAATCTCCTGTAGGGGGCACCTTCAGGCATGGAGAGGGACAAGCTCTGGTCCCTGCTTCTCACTATCTAACAAGAGCAGCTAGTGGGTTTGAACTGCTGACCTTATCGATTGCAACTCGATAACTAACTCACTACACCACCAAAACTCCTTTGCTTCCCCATGGGCCATTGAATTTTAACTTGCAGGTCAGTGATTTCTGAAAGGAGCAGACTGTTAGGATTGTCCAGGAGCTTTCTGAACAGATTCCAAGGTTCTGTGTTGTGTGCAGCTGAGTTGATTCTAATAGCAACCCTACAGGACAAAGTAGAAGGGTCCAGCAGGGTTTCCAATGCTGCTGGCTCTGTGGGATCGGCGCTGTTACCTGCAGGGTGGGTGGGCAGTTCCAACCCACCGGCCAGGGAGACTTTCTGCTCCAGCGAAGATGTAAAGATTTACAGTTCTACTGTCATGCATGGTGGTTAGGAGCTGGAATGGGCTCGATGGCAGTGGGTTTGTTGTTCGGAGTTGTTAGGTTTCTGGGGTGATTCCCCTCGGTTCTTGCTGAAAGAATTCCGGAGGCAGAAGTAACTTTTATTAAGGAAGGGAAAGTTTCAGGTGTTACTGTCTCAAAAAATACATGCTATTTCTGGGAAGTGTACAAGGCCGTGCAGGGACCCTTGGGAGGTTGCAACTGAAGATGGCCACTTCAGGAGAGTGTGAAAAACCACGTGAAAAGAATACCGGTACAGGGCTTTAAAACCAAGAGCCAGAAATCCCAAGAGAGTGAGCTGGGCTCCCAGCAGGCATGCAGGCACGTGCAGTGCAGCCTGGAAGGAATCTCACTCTCCACTTGCAGCACGCATCTGAACAAGAGAGCAGGGTTGGTGGCCTGCCCATGGCCTGCTTTTATCCCCTCCCATCTCCACTGGCGGGGAGGCATGGTTGAGGGTATTGGCTGACCTTATTGGCTAAGTTTAGGCCCACCTGTGTGATGTAATGTCATGTTGCTGGTGCCTAGTCTGCACCCAGGTGGACTCTCCCACCTGGGCTTAGGTGGGACTTGGAATTGGGCCTGAGCATGCTCCGTTCTGGATTTTCCCATAAGTGTCTAATTAGTGTGCCTGATTTCTTTCCAACCCTTTTGTTGTGGCATGGACATCTAATTTCCTTTTAGCGCAGGCATTCGGTGGAGACAACCCCCTTTATCCCTGTCTAGCTACCTTTCAGAATCTTTAAGGGAAGAACATTCTTAGGTCTTTTCTTCCAGAGAGATGGGTGGAATCAACCAGTAACATATTAATTAGCAGCCAAGTGCTTAAGCATTGTGTCACTAAGACTCCTTCCTCCAGAAATTCTGACCCATTCGATGTAAACTAGGCTCAGGAATATGTTTGCAACCCCTCTGGGGTGGGCCTGCGGCTGCGTATGTTTGGGGTCATTTTCATTGGGGTGAACCAAACAGGAGAGGTAATGATCTTTTGTAAGGGAGGGTTTAGGAGGCCAGGGGGAGTCAGCAACCAGTGACCTCGTGGTTTTTGGCTCAATGCGTAACCCCCTACGCCTCCAGAGCACCTGGCTTAACCACAAAGCAGCTGTTAAAACCCACCAGCTGCTCAGTGGGAGAAAGATAATATTGTTCCATTCTGCCCTATAGGGTCGCTATGAGTTGGACTTGATTCTAGGGCAGGGAGTTTGTTTGGGTTTGGAAGGGAGGATTCTTCAGGTCTTTTTTTTTTTT